CCAAATTTACCAAAATATAATGAAATTTGGGATACTAACATTGTTCTCTCCCATTTAGGAAAAATGGAAGATACTACATTAATTCAACTTTCCTGTAAACTGTGTATGTTGTTTTTACTTTTGACTGCTCAAAGATGTCAGACACTTCATTTAATAGAAATTAATGACATAGAATTACAACCAGAGTTCTGCATTATCTATCCTAATCATATTTTAAAACAAACTAAACCTGGTCATCACCTAGAGAAAATAACATTAAAAACATATCATCAAAATCCAAATCTGTGTATAGTTAGAACGTTTAAGGAATATATTCAAAGAACAAAATTCTTGCGAGGAACTGAAAAGAAATTGCTTATAAGCACACAGAAACCTCATAAATCTGTATCTCAACAAACTGTGTCTAGATGGGTAAAGAATGTTATGATAAAATCAGGCATTAATACAAAATATGGTGTGCATAGCACCAGACCTGCAACAACATCAGCAGCAAAACTTGGCAGTGTTTTTTTACAAACAATAGTGAAAACTGCTGACAGGAAAAATTCAGCCACATTTGCAAAGTTTATGATAAAGACAATGACTTGTCAAATGCAACAGTGCAGACAGCTTTACTTAACAGACAACAAAATTCATAAAAGATGTTAAAGTTGTCTGTTTTTTATCCTTAGAATTATTATTAATTCATGTAAATATTGTATCAGTTTAACAACAGTTTGTTAATTTCAAGTTCTATATTAGTACAAGCAATTCAAAGTTTATATTGTTATTTTTCAATTATACATATATGGTAAAGAAGCAACTCTAAAATCTCTGTGGGGTCCACAAAAGGGCTATGTGGTTGATAAAATGGAAAGATTAAACGAGACTTACCTTCGTAGAGGGGAAGTTGAAGTTTGATCAATATTTTATCAACCACAAGCCTCTTTTGGGATCACACACCCACCCAGCCCAACCCTTGATTATATTATATATCTTGCTTCTTTGCCATTTTACCATATTTAGATCATATAACCATTATGATCTAAATACACTCTAAAGACTGATGAGTAAGCTCGCTGGTCAAGCTATGCGATCTCTGTGTGATCCCAAAAGAGGCTTGTGGTTGATAAAATATTGATCAAACTTCAACTTCCCCTCTACGAAGGTAAGTCTCGTTTAATCTTTCCATTATACAACATGTACATAGAAGTTTTATAGAAGAAATATTCCTTAGGCCCCTAGGTTAACAAAAGTCAAGTCCTATGAGAGATTGCACAGATTTAAACGTCAATCACTTTGGTCATATACATACATGTACACATTGATATCAAAAACAATTTCTATCATTAGATTCTAATCACCCTCATTACAATCACAGTTAAGGTTTAAACATCATTGTCCAATTCACAATCACATGACTTTGTACATGTAAATCAATGAAATTCCCATCACTCTGTAAACAATGACATATCACAATATCAATTCCCCTCTGATCACACACATACAAACAAATTACATGTATAATCAACAGTCTCTAATATCAATTTACTACCACTCTGTTCACAATCAAATAACAATAAAAGTATCAATTATTCTTTGCCCTAATGGCAAATAAACCAACAAGAAAACAAAAGTTACAAGTCAATCAAAAGAAATGTTCTCCAATTCCACTTCCCCTCACAGACAGACAGACAGACAGACAAACAATAAAGGACAAACATTTATAGGACCCTTACACTTCTTTCACTTGTGACTGGTCTAAATGTGAAGTGATGATCTGCTTGCTATAAAACAATGTTTAAACCATTAAATAACTGCAGAAGAAAAAATTCTCTGAATCAGTAAATCAATAATTGATTGAAAGTTTTTGTATCAAAAAGGACATTACTTGAAATTTAAGCTTTTGATTATCATAATCCAATGATAATACTGAATGTATTTTTTTTAATAAAAAATATGTTTCTTAATGATAATTCTGATTGTTTACTGATAATTTTTTAAATAAGTTTAAAGGTAGTAGTGAATATATAAAATATCTTATATCATTATGAGGTTTTTAAACAAGTTTACAGGTAGTAGTGAATATAAGATATCTTACATCAATATGAGGTGACTGCCATAGATGAGCTCGCACTTGTTTATTTGGCTACCAAACATAACTCAAAATAATTATACAACATAAATATCTGTATTCTAATATCAATCTCTTACATAGAAAAATATAAACACTTCAATGTACTATGATAACAAAATCCTGGGAAAAAAACTTGTTGTTGGTGGTGGTGGTGGTGGTGGTGTTGTTTTGTTGTTGTTGTTGGTGGTGGTGTCATTTTTGTTGTTGGTGGTGGTGGTTGTGGTAGTGACATTTTTGTTGTTGTTGTTGGTGGTGGTGGTGGTGGTAGTGACATTTTTGTTGTTGTTGTTGGTGGTGGCGGTAGTGTTATTTTTGTTGTTGTTGGTGGTGTTGGTGGTAGTGTCATTTTCGTTGTTGTTGTTTGTGGTGGTGGTAGTGTCATTTTCGTTGTTTTTGTTGGTGGTGGTGGTGGCAGTGTCATTTTGTTGTTGTTGGTTGTAGTGTCATTTTTGTTATTGTTGTTGTTGGTGGTGGTGTTGGTGGTAGTGATGGTTTTTTTGTTGTTGGTGGAGGTGGGGGTGGTAGTGTTGTTTATAATGTTGTTGTCAGTTGACATGGTGGGTTTGTTATTGGTGTAATGCTATAAGATTGAGCATGGTAAATAAACATTCACTGGTTTATGACAGCAAATCAGCAAATGTTATATCTTTCTATTCCAAGACCTCTTTCTCACTAGAGAGTCCTTTAGTCTGTACATCTTATCATTGAATGCCAAATATACCAATCCAATACTGCCACACCCTTAACTTGCTGAAAAACCAGAACTTACTCTACAAGAAGACAAGACACTGATTATTTTATACAAACTTATATCTTTAAAGCCAATTTAAGATGGTGAAAATGTGTAACTATGTTCAATGCTTTGAAAGAACCACTGATGAGTAAACCAAAGAACAAGAGCAAGTTATAACTGTGTTGAATCATTAATTTAGCAGCCTGATTGAATCCCATCATTGTCTTGTATATTCTCATTCAAAAAATATCACAATTATGATCACATCAGTTTCATACCAACATATTCCATAATAAAATATACTGTTATCACTATAGCCTTATTAATTCAGTCCTGTTTTTAAATGGACAGGAGGCTATGTTGTCATACACTTATAATCTGTATCTGCTATTTATTATCTAGCAAGTTCATATTTTTTATGAGATTTTCCAAGACCTTGTCCCACTGTATCTTTTGTAATTTTTCTGATATGTTTGACATATGTTACCGGATTAAAAGAAGTACAGAAAAAGAAGTTGAAAATTATTAAAAAGCATAAAGATAGAAAGATGTAAATTATCAACGGTAATAGATGAAAATGTAAACACATTATTTGACTACATAAAACAAGATGGCAGAAAATGACCAACTTCAAGGGCAAACGAATCTTGCGCAAAGGATTGTGGGTCTAGATAGGAAAATGTTCTATTCTTAGAGCATCTTATTCCTCTGTATAATGATCCTCTGTTAACAATCAAACACATACTACCACATTGTCAGAAAATTATGATGAAAAACAAATTTCAGCATGCAGTGTAAATTAATGTTACAATATTCTAAACATAGATTTTTTTTAAACATGTTATATCCACACATTATTTATATATTACAGTATATCTATACAAATCATATACAGTCCTTACATATATACTGTCAGAAATGACCTCTGAACTTCTTGAAAGACTTGACTCCGTCTTTAGAAGAAATAACAAAAAAATTCACAAAATATTTTGAAAAATATGTTAGTAATGGCAAAGAAATAGATAAAGGCACAGGTAAAGAATGCAGGTTTTCAAATAAAATGGAAATTGGTACATTTTACATTGGTAATCCCCTTACGATACAATTTAAGACATAATTCAAATTTTATTAAACTACATTAAATGACTAGATGTCCAAAAGTTTCACAATACAAAATCAAAATTGTTTCTAGAAACTCTTAAATATTTATTCCTTATTTTATAATATCAGAGCATTATTTCAACAGAATGAACACCAGTATTACATTTAATTCTATTTGATTTTTTTTTTCTCAATTATGTAATTATTAATCTATGTGATCTACACACCTATATAAATATAATGCCACTATGGCTTTGCAATAATAATGACCAATAAAAAAAGACCAGCAGCTGGCCGAGCATTCTTATTATATTTTGGTATTACTTCAATATCCTCATCATATAAAATACTACAGCATGGACATAAGATACTAATAAAGACAATTTTGTGAGTTTTCATATGGACATATAGGCAGAAAACTCAAAAGTGAGATCACTGACACCCAATTTTAATTCCGATCAAAATAATTTCATCATATTCTAACAACATGCCCAAGTTAAAAGAAATTCTATTGCACAGTTTTGATATTGCCTATATATCTATATGAAAACTCTCGAAAAACCGCCTTAAATTGAAGTTTACAGAAACATAATAAAAACAATTATCAATATTTTCCCATTTTTAAGATTTTTAACACTAAATTGTCATCACTCAATGACTGACTCTAATGTTTGTTTGATTGGGTTTTTAGTCCCATCGACACAGTATAGGTCATTTGGCGACATTCCAGCTTTACTGGTGGAGGAAGACCTCAGGTGCCCTTCCGTGCATTATTTCAGGCACGAACGGGCACCCGAGTAGAACCACCGGCGTTCCGTAAGCTAGCTGGATAGCTTCCTATCATGAAAGAATCCAAAATCCCTGTCGGGATTGCAACCCACAGCGGTGAGGGGAAAGTGGTTTGAAGTGACTCTAATGTAGAATTGTGATAAAAACACATTTATTTCCTTTTTGTAGGTTTAACGCTAAATTGTCATTACTCAATGGCAGTGTTGAAACAGAACTGTAATAAAAACCATAATATATAACATTATTAACAATACGCCATACCTTGCCGTCTGCTAACATTTCCGGATGTAGTGGTTCAGGTGTAAACACGTCGTCTCCTGCATCCTCCATGAGAGGTGACGGGGCCCGCAACGTCCAACCTTCCTCGAGACATTTCTGTGACGACAGCTGGTAGTTTATAGTCTTCATCTGACGGGCAACTGTAAATCATTCAAACGTCATAGTTTAAACAACAAGAACGTGAAATCTTATTTGATAATAGCCTGTCTGACTTTTTACCAAATACCCCTTTATAAAGAATAGGAATGTGCTATTTATAAGAAAATCATACATTTTAAGTAATTATTTATAAAGTAATTGTATCATTTTAGTTCCTGTGGTTAAGAAAGTACCAAGTCATGCAAAATATGGTGATAAATGAATATGATGATAATTTGATATGGTGATGAAATTTAATATGATGATAATTTACATGTTTAACATCAGACTTTAATAGTATGTGTGCAATAGTATGACAATAAAAATTGGATTAAACATCTTGTTCAGGTCTGTAAAAGAAGTTATTAATAACATGGTTATAGCAGTTTTAATCACACACAAAAATTGGTATTAATATACATATCTAAACATTAAAATCACTTATTTCTTACATTTTAAATGAATTTGTTCTTTAGATTATATGAAAACAATATTGCTAGAACAAAAAATTAAAAAGTATAATTAAATACATGTAATATATATTGTATGATGTGGGAAATTTATATTACTAGAATAAAATATATAATAAGCAGAATTCATAATTATAACCTCGTCTATATGTTAGCTGAATTATTAAAGCTTTGGTTATATTAATGACTTACACTAAGTCAATTAGTCTTATAACATACATGTTCTAAACATTAACCCTTAGCCGGCTGGAGCTTGAAATATGTCTAGCCAATAGTTTAGACCTAGGCTAGCCTTGGCCAATAGTTTAGACATTATTAAGGCTAGCCTTGATCATGGTTAACCTTAGCCACTTCAGTATTGACCTAGGCTAGTCTAAACTTTTGTAAAGACTCCTCTCTCTTAAGGACCAGTAATATTGGCTAACTCATCTTGAAATCATAAAAATTGATTAATGGACACGTAGTTCCAAAAGGGTTTATTGCCTGTAAAAATATTGACTTTTGATCAGTAATTTATATATGTATTATATAAAAGCAGGTATATTAAAAATTAATGTCCAGTAAATGAAACATGTTGCATCAAATCAGCAAACATCAATTTTAAACACATCTGAATATAAAAAAAAATATTTAAAAAATTGAGGGAAAAAAAACAATACTGAAATGTTGATAAACATTTTGTCACAAAAGTGCAAGACTTTATAATTAACTTGAACAAACCCAAAGAATACCTTATATTGTCACCTTAGTGCAGTAATGGGTCAACTCCTATTAAATTATATAAGCAGTTAACCTGTTACTGCATTAAGGTAAATAACAAAATTAAGATAATAAAAATCGTTTTAGTGGATATCATAAAATTTAGCAGATATCATAAAATGTTAAGTGGATGAGAAGTTACAATGAATAAAAATGCATTTTTTATAAACAGCCTTGCAATGATGTGACAAATTTGTAGATTTGACTCTTTATCAATTTATACAATGTTCAATTTTCTATGCTGTGAAAAAAAAAGAATTTTTATATAATTCCATGATCGATACAAATGTTGACGTTTTACTGACTGCTGAAATAAAAGTTTATACGATGGTTACATAAATTAAATGAAAATTCAGCTTGTATCAGCTTTTATACATGTAATGTATTCATGCATGAATTATGTGACATTTTACTCTGTGTGTCATATCACATTAATTATGTGTCATTAAATACATTTTATATCTTAATTTTTAACTTCAATACAAATCAGCCTACAATATTTACCATCATTTCAAACTCATTAATCGATGTGAACTCAAAGTGAAACAAACAATAAATTTAAACAAAAAAAAATATAATAATAAAAAAATGATATGAATACAAAACAATGAAAACTAAATGCTCCCCCATACCGTCGCTGTTCATCCTTAATGCCTGTAGATATTCACTTGCTATCTGGCAGACCTGATAAGCCTCGCAGGCAACTGTGTGACCTTTACTTATCAATCTCTTCCTAACAACCACCTCCCCACCTTTAATTTCACCCCCTTCCTGCAGATTTGTAAGCCCCTTTTTTTCTTCTGCTGCTACAGCAGGCGAATGCCTGCACTTAGACCTCGATGGACACGTGTCCAAACAGTCGAGGATTATATTTGAAGGCTCTAAATTTGCCTCTAAATAAGAAAAAAATACGTATTATAGTCTCTAAAATTATTAATGCAACATAAATTTTTGCCAGACAAAATCACGTAGGATGTCATATTGATTTACTTACAAGGGAAAAGTCATCAAAATAACATTGAAAACAAGAATAACTGCTTAACCCTTTAAGTGCTGGACCCAAAAGCATTAAGTCTTTGCCACCAGTATAGAGCCAGGCCAGCCTGCACATCCGTGCAGTCTGACCAGGCTCTATACTGTTGGCTAACTAATTTTAAATATTCAAATTGATATCCCTAAAATTGATAATGGACAGTCCCAAAAATGGAAGTGGGACAAGTCCATTTAAAATATTCAGCATGTTCAGGCTTAATGTATGCTCCATGAGAAAGCTTTGACCAAAATAAATACAAATAATTAAAAGTATTAAACATAGGCATTGTAGCATAGGTGTAACCTTGACCCAAAGGACGTCATACCTATTCCATGAGTAGAACCCTATAATGGAAGTTTCCAGTCAACATATCAAAATAGGCAAGATATTATCAGTTGCTATAGGAAACAGTATGTTTGACGGAAGGTTTTTTAATACAAACATGCAACTTATAAAATACTTTATGAAAATTTTTTGGACAGCACTAAATATTCAACTAGGATAAGATGTGTAATCATTTTTAGTATGGTAATGCTTATATTTCTTGTATTAGGTTTCCTTCAACCTTTTATACAGCACTGCTGTACTTTACATATCACATTGAATATAATTATATACATACAAATCATGTACACAAGGACAGGCAAGTGGTGAGATTTTTTTCATAATTATTTAACACATTTTCGTTGTCATAATTATTATTTGGGTTTTAATTCAAATTATGTACTCTCTTACAGAAACAGCCTTATGCTTTATCATCAAGTATGACTTCAGACACTAATTTGTGTCATCTAGGGTAGGAACACCAATCTTTTTAAATAAAGCTTAAAAGTTTCCATAAAAGCATTGAGCATTCAATTAACTGCCATAATTAGCAGGATTTAAATCTACATTTGTAAAGGTCAATTTAATTCAGCATGTCAGCACCCTTGACCATGACCACTCTGCCAATGTAGCCATGTTAACTAAATGTGAATTATGAGGAATCATAATGTTTTAAATTAACACTTAAATGTATTTAATAATTCCTTACATTAAAGCAACTGTTACTTGCTGAATAATTAGAAAGACTGACACCATAATACTCAACGTCCACATCAGTGGAACTCTTTTAAACATTTAAGATCTTCATCTCTAAGAATCGACTTAAACATATGGTAGTATCAGATACAATACATAATGGTTTTAAAACTAACAAAAATTTGTCATTCAATCAAAAAATACAAAGCAGATGCCTATACATGCTATACTGGCAGCAAACTATCTTAACATTTCAAGTTTTACATGAAATCAACACAAACTCCAAATTTCAAATGATTGGACATGCACTGTAAAAAAAAAACTGGTTGCTCATCACATATTGAAAACGTTAGGTGAACAAAACTTCAAAGGTGTTAAAATCACATGTTATCATGCAGTTTACTAAATACCTGCACATATTTGGGTAAATTTACTGCATGTATGACATGCATAAATGAGCCACGTCATGACAAAACCAACATAATGGGTTTGCGACCAGCATGGATCCAGACCAGCCTGCGCATCCGCGCAGTCTGATCAGGATCCATGCTGTTCCTTATCAGTTTCTCTACTTGTAATAGGGTTGGTAAGCGAACAGCATGGATCTTGATCAGACTGTGCAGATGCACAGGCTGATCTGGATCAATGCTGGTCGCAAACCCATTATCTTGGTTTTGTCGTGACGCGGCTCAAATATGACCCAATATAAATTCTCTTTTTACCACATTAATTAAATGTTCCAAATCAAGATAATCTTATAATAACCCTACTTTATAGATGTTACCTGGAACTCTGCAAATGTGGAATATTTTATTCTAATCCCCAGGTACAAACAAAGGTTTTAATCAGGCATCTGCCCATTGGCAACTGCCCGAATACACTTGCTTGATATTTTTGATATCAGGTTAGTAACCTGATAAAAATAAGCCCTGCCTATTTCAACAGACTGTTTTCAATAGCTTATATTCTCATTTTAACCCATCAGGTTTTCACAGATTTCTACATTTTCACCTCACATCCTTAATTGCAAGTCTTGAATCAAAATGTAATATCTGTTATTTCTATTTTGTTTGCAATTTCGCACAAATTAGATGGCAAATAGAAAATTACCAAATTTATGAAGTCACGGCAAGCCTTGCCCATTCCAGACCTTATCAGCCTCGCCTGATATCAAAAGACAGTTGTATGTTTTTCTTTTTTTATCACTGTGCACTCCTGATCACAAAAGACTGTAATTAATGCATTATTGCTTATCAATACATTTACCAGTTAAAGTATGTTTGTACCCTCAGTCCCTGGGCTTGATGGTAAAACCCCATATTTGCAGAGTTCTGGAGTATATCCATTTATAGAAGAGATGGGTAGATGGGGTTCATGCTGAAAACTGTAACTGTACATTAATTTTTGTAAAAGTGAAGTTCATTCAACAACAGTGGAAGTGATGTGAGCACTAGATTTTCAAAAACAACAATCCGGCCAGCAAGTTACTAGGATATTGAACTATTGTACCTTAAGAACTAGGTTCAAGCAATATTGAGGTAAAATTAAATATGTTTACTCATATATTCTCTTGCAAAGATAATATCTTGTACTTTTATATTATATATTGTACTTCTCGATTTTCCGATATTTTTATATTGACAGTTCAATATACAAATACTTGCTTTGAAGCCGGTTTATGGCTTAATTAATTCTGCTCAAGTAAGTGACTTCTCAACAGCTGATCTTATTCACTAATCATAGTCATAAAGTTAGCCCAGCACGCATTTAATATAGGACAATACATATAATGCTTTTCAGACATTATAGCTAATTATATTTCAATTATAAATAGTTCTACTGATAAAAAATAGTTTTGTAGCCAAGGGTGACACTTAAAAGCAGGGCCTTAAATTGCTTATCAAAATGTTATTGGTGTCAGATTATTAAATAATCTATTTTATAATACCTTAAGTTTTTAGTTAGATTTTTTTTTTTAATTTAAATAATTTCTAAGCAAATACCATTCCAATATTTCAAATGCATGCTGGGAAGTTGGGGAGGGGGTCAACAAGGGATAACATATCTAAGGTCAATATAAGACAATTACATGCTCCACCACTTTCTAGAAATCTCCGGGGAGAACCACCCGCTTCAAAATACAAACAACATATAAATAAATACTAAAAATATAACAATAAATGCTACACATTGACATTAACTATTATAGGCTATATTTTACAGCTTTAAAGCAGCATGCCTCCAGATTCATGCTTATTTTCAAAATAAATTTTTAAAAAGTTTTTGAAAGTTAAATATTGACAATTGAACAAAGAAAATAATTTACACATTGCACACAGCACTTGCATCCACATGAATTACCAAACAGAGGTCAAAATAAGACCTAAACAGCCCTTACTGCATTAGTAATGTAGCGGAAATATGGTTATAAATACTGCAAAAACTGACCTTAATCACATATAACATGTAAACTATTTCTTAAATCTTTTTATTTTTCTTAAAATCTTAGTATACATAATTCTCAAGTTTAATTTTCTTGAAATATTTTGGCTCATCTGGAGGCATGCACCTTTAACCATACATCAATAATATAATAACACACATGGTATATCTTATACTTCAGAAAATACTTAACTTTTATAGTTGGTTTAGTACTGATAATGAATAGTAACCCAAATACTTATGTTACAAATGTTAGACGTCTAAAAACGAAATGAAAATAAAGTTTGCACGCCCATGTGTGTTTTATGACAAGAAAGTCTAGTTTTAGAAATGAAAGTACACATAATATATAATATGTTTATATCAAAAATATTGATCACTATTTCAACACATAATATTCTCTACACATTAATGCATAATTTATTATAAACATAGTAAAATACATGATAAAATCACCGAGTAAGTTACACAATGTTTTATCAATTATCACTAATGCTACACATATGAGAACAAAAACAACATAATTACAATATTATCTACACATTCATTGAATATTCTATAAAAGATGCAGTATTAATTTATCTTGTAACATCTAATACGAGTATTCTTCAATATGAAACTGTGTTTTAATGTGACACTTATGTCACTATTAAAGTGACATTATGCCTATCCAAGTTTAAATGGTGAGTGCTCTGTGGTCAAAGTTAAAATAACTTTACATTTTGCCATAATTCATTGTGTTTAATTTTATATTTTGTTACAATGCAAAAATAATCAATAATCCATGTGACCCATGGACATTTCTATAAATATCATTTCGAATCTTTTGGTAGTGTTCAATTTATAAAAAGAGTGAGGCAGTCTTTTTATATTTTACGCAGATATTATAGAATTATTATAATCCTAAAAATTTTCAAATATCCACAGCAAGACAAACACCATTATAACGGCCAATCTCTTGAAATAATTATGTAGTCAATGCAGCCCAACTTAACAGTAGAAAAAATAAGCAAAATGTCACTTTAAAACACAGTATTTTCCTTAACCTGTTGGAATTTAAAAATATTAGTCTTTGCCACCAGTATAGAGCCAGGCCACTGTCAGTGAGTCTGCATTAAATGATACTGTCTGACCAGAAACTCTATACTAGCTGATGGTAGCTCAACTTTTGTATTTTGATACTAATTAAATCCCTTAAAGTTTAAATGGACTGTTCCAAATTCAAAGCAGGGCAAATCCATTTACACAAATTCAGCAGGTTTAGGAATAACATATTAAAATGTTCTACATACATTATGTTTCTATGGGTCAAATAAATTGCACCTTGCTATTAAAGCTCATTCCAGAGTTATAGCCCCTTACATAGCACATGAAAAAAAAAAACAGTTCTAAACATAAACTACACATTAAAGTTCATTCTTTTCTTATCAATAGCATGGGTGGTCATATTTGCTTCAGATCCTCAAATATCTATATGCTGTTTTGAAGAAGGCTGATGCTGTACTTTTCCAAGATAATATTACTGAAAATTTACTTTAAGTTTGAAACAACACAGAATTGTTTTTCCATCAGAAAATAAAATCTGGAGGTCGCTAAATTTAAAGGGTACTGGACCATCCATGCTATTGTTTCTTAATTGCTATCAAGAACCATGCAGAATGTACAGGTTTGAGCACTGACATGTGCCAATGTTACCACTGTGAGCCACAGGTGCTCTAGCACTTGCAACTGCTGGAGGGTTTCCTACAAATTAATCAACTGTATTATTATACAAAATCAAAGTATAAGTTTGTCAAATAAAAGATTTCAATCAAAAGATCAATCAGGCAAAGGAATAATACATTTTGTTTACAGGCTTAAAATCTTTTAGCAGACTATCTTTAACACCCAGTATTTTCTTACGTTTCCAGCTTTACTGAGGTGAAGCCGAAGGCTCATGTATACATTACTTCAAGTATGTCAGCAGGCAATCCAGTAGAACCATCCACCTTCCGTACTAAGCTACCTCTCTGGTGAGCTTCCTGACAGGATTTGAGTCAACAGTGGTGAAAGTCTACTGAGGCATGAAATACAGCCTTATGGATAATTTGTTTGTTTGTTTAATTGTGTTTTATGTCACACAGTAACAGTATAGGTCATAATTGGTGACAATCCAGCTTTTAATGGTGGATGAAGATGTTCCTCAGGTGCCCTTCCATGCATCCTTTCAGGCATAAATGAGCACACCAGGCAGTAGAACCACCGACATTCCATAAGCTTAAGCTGGATTATAGACTAAGCTTACTCATGTGAAAGAATGCAGAGTCCCTGTAGGGATTTGAACCCACAGCGGTGATGGACAAGTGGTTTAAAGTCAACAAACTTTAACCGATCAGCCACAGACGGCTCTTTATTTATTATACATGAAGCAGCAAATGGCAGTTTTCTAGCTGTATTTAAACCTTAACTATATTATTCCTTTGACTTTTTTATATAAAATATGCTGTTAATATACTGCAATTTTTCAAAAACAACAAAACAATATGAAAACCAAACAGTTCATACAGTACTAGTATTACAACTTCAGCGAGCAAAAATTGTTTGCCATAACACTTTACAAACATGTTTTGCAAAGATTTTTTTTTTAATTTAAGAAATGTTTGACAAATGTTTGACATATGTAAGTAATCATACAAAATCCAGACTATGTTTCTGATGACTGTATTATAATTCAGACAATTCAAATATTCTGACTGTAAAATATTCAGATTTGAAATTTCTATTAATAAAATGTTGTCATTTTCTTAATGGATACATGTATGTGCTTAGAGTTAGCCAAAATAATATTTTTAACATTAAAAAATAAACACAATATGTATTTATGAATCAATTGTGCATTTAAGAAATAAATTGTCATAAAAATTGTATTAAATTTGTCTATTATTAACATTGCTATATGGGAAATAACTCAAAAAAATCCTCAGTCTATTCATTTAAATAAATTACCTCCCTTTATATTAAAATAACATTTTCTAAAAGCATAAAAAACTTCTAAAGCAAAATAAATTTAATTGATCAATTATATATTTTCTTTATGTTTTGTTTTTGCCCCTTTAAAATATGAACCTTAAAGCAGACAATATACAAAGCATATAAATCTATGATAAAAATATTTATATACATATGTATATATTAAATATATGCCGGAAAAAAAGATTATTATACATTCATGCAATAAATATTAATCAAAATCAGCATTCCACAATATAAAATCACAATATAAAATCATGGCCACAATGTTATCTAGCCATTCAGACAGGCACACACACACACAGACAGACAGACAGACACTATATATTCTGTACCTTCAATTCCTTGCAGCAGCTACCAGGATTAAAACAAACAAAAAATAGTTCCAGATAATTATCATGCAATTAGATTATTACAATTTCCTTAGTCATTACATACATAAGTTACTAACATCCAGAGCTCAAACTATAGTGAAAATTTCTATGTTTTAATTTTCAGGTGAAAGTTATCCATTTATATCTCAGTCATAGGTTACAGGTTATAGGTTGCATTCTTTATATTAACCAATATTTCAATTTCTAAAACATAAAATGTTACTATAATATTATGGTTCTTTTCTACTACACTATATTTAATATTTTATGCTCAAAATGCTTGAGTCACAAAGACCCTTGTATGTATGGTACTTTATATATTAGTGTGACCCATGTATGTACTTTTAGTTACGATGAAGAACTGTGATGTTCTAATTATTTTACTTTTTATAGTTTCAGAGTAAATTATACCAATAAATAAAGAAAGAAAACTTCAAATATACAAAGAATGATCAAATATTGTAAGACTCTATTAAATATGTCATCAATTTTCTATGTTTGAGCTCTGGGATACTGTTTCATCATGCAATAATTTTTCTAGCACCAACTTCTTTCAGTTGTTTCATCAACCAAAGAGTCTGAATACAGAGGTGTTTTTTTTTCATTGCTGTAAGTCAATTAACATTATTTGCTTTAGAAATTAATATTCAACTAAAGCTTCTTAGAAAAGTCAGGTTTAAGAAAAAAAGAAAGTCACAATTTTTAAACAGGAGTTTGGTGGAGTCTTTTAAATATATAAGTGTCATTTTTTTAATGTATAACTTTGTTATTTTATAATTTCAAACTCCTTGGCTTGAAAGAACTCGTCAGTGCTGTATACTAGTCTAGTCTTGTAAATAAATGATACATAACACTGGATTACTGTGTACAAATACATGCTTTAATAGTCAAACATGTTCTATATCACAAGCATGGAATATCCTGCAAGGTTTTAATTTTGATCTGAGGCAACAGAAAATTTATATGTGCCAATGAAAACAACCACTTTGGTCAAAGGGGAATATTTTATAAATCTACAGGCTGAAAATACAACTAATTTTAACATCATTTCAACCAATGATATGGACCGCCAATCTATTAATAATGATTTTAATCTACAAGCTGGAAATACAACCAATTTTAACAGCATTTCAACCAATGATAGGGACTGCCAATCTGTTAATAATAAAAACCCTGATCATGATGCAAATTTATACAGATGTATGTTGATTTATATCTTATTTAGTTTGGTTTTTTTCCCCTCAAAATTTGATGTACTTTCCCACTATATATTCCTACAAAAATGCTCATCACTACAAACAATAGCTAACTTATTTGCATATTTAGTTGTAAAATTTATCTTTCATACCTCTATAACATCATAATATATAGAATATAAATTATAAACAACAAATAATAAGCCTGGAAAAATGCATAAAATGTGGTCAGTTGCTATGGAAACATAAAATGTCTTTAAAGTCACACATCAGTTTGGAATCTCTGCAACACAGCAATGGTTTTAATGCTCATCCACAATGGTTGCTAAGGACAAGGTCGCTAAGTAGCACATAAACACAAAAACAAGGGGAATATACATTTATGTAATGGCTAATGGGTGAAACAAACAAGAGGGCCATTATGGCCCTGAGGTCGCTCACCTGTATATAGGTTTCATGATGTTAAGTTTTTAGTCTACAGACATATAATGAAAAACATTGATCTCTCCTTCCCCCCCCCCCCCCCCCCCCCCGCTGGCAGGGCCAAATTTAACCCAAGGGCTTTTATTTGAACAAACTTGGCAGACACCCATAAGAAGATGTTTCATGCTAAACATCTAAGCTCTAGCTCTTTGGGTTTTTTAAAGGAAGATATTTAAAGTTTTTTCTTTCGGTTGCCATGGCAACCAGAGTTCTGCATGGAATTAAATTCTTTGAACAATTTTTAAAGGTGACCACCAAAGGAGCATTCCTGTGAAGTTTGGATGAAATTGGCTTAGTGGTTTATGAGGAGATGTAATTTAAAGTAAAAGTTTACGGAAGGACGACGGATGGACGACAGATGGACGCCGGATGAAAAGTGATCACAAAAGCTCACCCTGTCACTTTGTGACAGGTGAGCTAAAAATAAGTTTCAATAAATAATATATATTTTATGATTCAAGGAAAAAATATTGAGTAACATGGATATAATGGTGTGGTTTCTAATTTTTTACATAATAATCATTGCTACACTTATGAATATTAAAAAATGTACTTATAGTTTACACATATATATATTTCAATGTTGCTAGGTAACAGTTGCTATGGGCATGCAGGAAAGCAAGGGTGCAAGATGTATAATTTCTTTTTTGCTAAGGTCAAGTTGCTTGGCAACAGTTGCTATTGACATGCAAAATCATGCAATGAAAGCAAGGGTGCAAGTTTTTACATTCCTTATTTTACAATGATAACTAAGGTCACAGTTGCTAGGCAACGGTTGCTATGGACATGCAATTAAAGCAAAGGGTGCATTATTTTTTATTGTTTTTGTTTGTTGTCATACATACCGTACATGTCCTTCATAGTAAGGTTACCAAGGCCTGCGGGAATTTTCATTAAACTTTGTTTACCACCGGGAGCAGCTGCAGTGTGTGAGACAGAAATGAGAGAAAAGTGAAAAAAGACAAAGAAACAGAGAGAGAAAAGAAGAAAGAAACATAGATAAAACTCAAAATTAGTGTCAAAATTACCATAATTATAATAACAGTGTTATAAAGTACACTATGAATTCAGCAGAAAACTGTCATACATCTGCTGGTAAAGAGAACAAAATACAAAGATCTTTGTCAAAGAAGGTCAAATAAATATAAATGGTATCTTTTTTCATATTAAGTATTATATGCTAGTTTGGTTTGTGGTTTTATGCTGTTCTTGTTTTCTTTGTAATATTTGTTTTGTTATTGTTTTTTTGTTTTTTTTTTTTTTTTTTTGGGGGGGGGGGGGGGCTTTTTGTATGACAGTGTTCTGCAAGTACCATACTGTACAGATGGTTCACAAACTATTAGTCATTATGTGGTTAAATCTATTTCTTTCTGTCACAAATACTAAACTTTCTTCATGATATTTCTCTTTGCTTTGTTTTGGAAATTCTTTTCCATTTTCTATAATTGTTTGGGTTTTGATTTTCTTTCTGTTTGTTAATTTTTTTCCTTTTAAGCAGCATGCCTTCAGATTCATGCAATTTTATGCAAAATTTTCATGAAAACTTTGAAAATGATATTAAAGTTAAATTTACACACTGCTACACAATCCACATAAATTACCAAACAGAGGTAAAAATGTGCAAAATATAGCCCTTCAACAATTACTGCATTAGTCATGAACTAAAAATGTGGTAATAAATACCGCAAAATCAGTCATTAATCGCGCATAACATGTAAATTATGAATTAAATCTTGAAAATTTTTACTTTTTTGAAAATCATTTTCTTTTCTCGAAATATTTTGGCTCATTTGGCATGTTTGCTTTAAAAAAAAAATTCAAAAATAAAATATTTTTAAAAAGAAAAACACTTGGTTTTAGACAAATAAGCACCTCTTGGTTATTATTTACAAGTACCCCAATAGCCTTATTTCTAATATGAACAAGTATTTGAACTTTTATTCATAATAGTTTACAAGCCAGAAAGATATAGATTAAGCTGTCATGAGAAAAATATCAATAGATCTAGCAGGGCTTTTTCTGGTTAATTTTCAATACAAGTTTTGAAATTGAGCCCAAAGTGACCAAATTAATTTGAAAGCAACATAAGACGTGAATCACATGACTGATACAGAAGTGTGCAGTAACTCTGATTTAATTTTCCTCTTCATAAAAAAGAGTAATTTTAACATTTTTATTAAAGATCCCTTTAAAGGTGGGAAACCGGTAGATATTTTTCATATAAAATTATTATAATAGTTTTGCTAATAAATATGTTGTAAAGTTGGATTCCATTTACAACAGGTTATATAATTATTACATAACATTGCATAACATTACCCAAGAAGTAAAGCATATATAATCTTCATATATATTTTTGAAGAAATATTGAGGCCGTAAACTTTAACTTAGATTTAAACTTATTTTAAAGTTTAATGATAAATTATTAAACATGTATTGTTCTATAGACATTTCATTCTTAAAAGTTTAATGTTGATTATAATTGTATTGAATAGTTTGTAGAACTTGGTAATTAATAATTATGCAAATGTTAAATCTACAACTTGTGCTATTGATACACTCATTAACAGTAACTTAGCATGGCCTATTTAGACCCTTCACATATTACAATATATAGAGAATTAATCTACTTTTACTCACACTTGCCTTTTAACTTAGTGAAGCATAAGTTGTAGATTTAACATTTGCATAATTAATTAATTACCAATTAGATGGAACCAGAAAAAGCCCTGGCAAAACAAAACTTATAACCAAGTCAGAGTATTAATAAGGTCACAATGTTAAGTACATGTACTTCAAACAAACAAGATAATTATAAAACTCTTCTGTTAGCAAAGGAAATTTCAGACATCAATTAAAAGTGTATTGTAGTAGTAAGATGGTAGACAGAAATCTTTTAATGAAAATAGTTAAGAATTAATCCACAATTTTTATTTACTAGTTAATTCTGTTAAAATTTTTCACTCAAGCAGCAAAGCTATATATGTTTTACAAGAAAAAGAAGACTTTCATTTCTTTGTGTCAAATTTAGTAACATTGTTGAAAATATATATTCAAGGATAAAGTACCTGGTCAATACACATGAGAAACGATCATGTGACATTAAAATATAAATAGTTCATTGCCAGGTGTCAACAAATATACTTGCTTTTGTCAATAATAGCAACCACTATTTATATTAATACACCTTTAATATCTATTTATTGGTCATTAATATTATACCATATATTCCCATATCAGTATTATCAATTTGTAAAAAAAATATTTCCGAAAAAAAAAGAAAACATCTTATGTAAACTCAAAGCTTATTCTTTTAATTTACTAATTAAAAATACCAGGACTGGTCGGTTTTGCCAGCACCCCACCCCCACCTCCCTCACCGAAAAAAAAATAGTTTCTGTGAATTCACTAAATTTCATGTGCATAAAATTTCATAGTTTTGTCACAAAGAACATTTTTGTGGGTTCTTAAATTCGTGGACTGTTTATTTTTCACGAAAACCACAAAAAATTAGTTCCCCCTAAATAATAATGATTTTACAGTTGTAGGGAATATATGGTAAGGTAAATTTCAATATCAGTTACATTATAATATACCTTCACCATACTGTTAGATAACAATGTCAAATTATTTACTATAATAATTAATGGAAATAAACAATTAACAAGTAAGAGAAAAACTTAAAAAAAAAGAAAAATCCAAAAATCCACACCAAAAGTAAGCTGCATCAAAAATAAAAGACAGAGAAAAGATGGCAAATTAAAGAGGCGTCGTATTTTTTCGAGTTCAGCAACTAAATGCAAGTTTTGTTTCTGTAAATCTATATTTTTGTCATTTTTTTTTTTATTTTTATTTTTTTATTTTTTGGGGGGTGTATATAGTGGCTTTACTCTTTGAGCGGTAACAGCACACTGGACTAACCTATGGTAGCAGTATAGAGCCAGGCCCGACCTTCACCTTCCCTGCGTTATGACCAAACTGACGTCTGCTCATTTTTTGTGTTTTATTCCTGAAATCCCTGAAAATTAACATTGGACACTTCCAAATTGAAAAATGGGCAAGTCCATTTAAAAAAAATAGGTGGGAAATATATAGAAAAACAAAACAAACTTGGGGGACTCCATCACAAATGACAATGTTATTAAGATTTACAGTAACCACAAAAAAAGAAATAGTGTGCACAGTTTTTTTTGTGTTCTTTAAAAGCCTGAAATGAAAGAGACTATTGAAAATGAGATAATACTCAAAGGATGGTAGGTACTTACATGCAAAGAAGTTTTGTTGTAGTCCACTGGCCTCTTGTTGTCTTCTTTGCAGCTCACGTTCCCTCATTCTGTAATCATTTATTTAAAACTCAATCAGTACTTTTATCTACTTAGTACTCATTAAACATAGTTGTGGCTCCCACTGAGATTCAAACCATTACATGTATTTCCTCAGAGGCTTACATCAAACTAACAACCCATTCCCATGATAGAAAAAAAATCACTTTTTACAAATTTGTCCTCTTTTAGTAATTTAATAGATTTTTAAATTTATTACCATGATCATGTTATGAAAATAGTTTGGAAGCAGTGACAACAATTATTTAAGTAGCAACCACTACCCCTAATAGTAAAGATCAGTTTTTATTGTTTTGTTAGTAGTTTGTTTTGGTTGCTGGTTTTTTTTTCTGTTTTACAAGACTTTTTTTAGTTTTATGACATATGAATGAGGGGGGCAGGGTGATAAAGACTTGCCTTTATCTGTCCCACTATTGTTCTAAAGTCTGACACATTTTTAGTCTTACCTTAGCTTTATTACATATCACGATCGCACTAAGTTAAACTCAATTTGTACATGTATAACTGATGTTTCAATAATGTTTAGGCTCGTGTAATGAAAATAGCTCAAACCTTTGCACAGCTTTCTCTTTAGCCGCGTTACGTTCCTGTTTCGAGCCAACATGCTCATGAGGTTTAATATCAATCAGTTTATTCTTCTTCGTCTGCTCTTCTTCCATCTCAGTGGACGTGCTGAGAACAAACTCAACAAACTCCCTGTATTCATTGCAGCAATATAGCACCTCAGGAGCAAACTGCAAAGAAATGTAACTCTTAATAACTTCCCTAAAAGAGTTGTGTCCCTTGAATTAAAAGAACATGTGTAAAGTAATAGAGAACTTTCAATGAACTCTTTATAACATTTCTTTATTAGGAATTGTGTCCCTTGAATTAAACCAAGTTTAAAAGAAAAAAAAGAACTTGCTATAAAAAATGCAACCATGCCAATAAAAAGGAATTTACTTAAATATATGCAACCATGCCAATGAAAGGAATTCACTTGAATATAATTAGCAACCATGCCAATCCAAGGGACTTACTGGAATATAACTATGCAACCATGCCAATGAAAGGGGATTCACTTGCATATATATGCAAGCATGCCAATAAAAGAGACTTACTGGAATGTAACTATGCAACCATGCCAATGAAAGGGATTATACATGTATTAAGTTTATTTTTACCTTCGTCTGCTGTTTCAACAGTAGGGAAAGGTTTAATGGGTGTATGACAGAATTCACAATTTCCGGAAAACATCCCATGGGTAACACCCGACTCATCTTTATCATAATCAGGGCCTTCAGCGCGGGCTTCTGGATCTTCTACTGGAATATCATGCTTTTCTGATTCCCTTTGATACTAAATAAACAAAATATATATAAAAATAAATGAAAATAATATCATTATATTAAATTACTTAACAAACATTAAAATGTAAAATTGATAGGATATTATGCCAATTATGTCACAAGAAATATTTAAAATTTATCTATTTTTCAGTTTTACAAGTAATTTCAAACGAAATCTATGAAATAAGTTAAATCTAACAAACTTTATTAAAAAGACATTAAAAAGTTTGTGGACACATGACGGGACCACACAAAAATATAATCATTAAATTAAGACAAAATGGTCTTTAAAGGTTTTGGAAACCCAAAAAACAGTACACAAAAAATATGTTCCCAATGTTAAGTTGTTAAATAAATGATAGTTTATATATTTAAATTTATATCCAGACAAATCTTCTTTGATGTTTAAAAAAACCCATTAAATCAAACAGAATGATGTAAATAAATTACATAGAAATTATTTGACAAGTCTAAAAATAGTCTATTATTATACTGAAATTATGATGGTTAATATATATAGATATAATTTGTATCAATTTAACAACTGTTAGTGAATATAAAACAAGAGAATATACAAATATGACACTAAAACAGTGAATGTGGTTCAATAACTTACTGTAATCAACTCCATCAATAAAACAGTACCATCAAAATACTATATTACATATATCATCAAAATACTATATTACATATATCATTTTAATGTATGGCATTTCTAAATTTATAACTTTTCTATTTATAAACACATATACCACAATTGCCAAAACTTCACCATGACCAAAGACAATTGGAAGAATGTTGGCACAATATGTAAGAACAAGAGCTGTCCGTAAGACAGCGCGCTCGACTTTTTTATTGCTTGCCAATAAAAAAAGTTTTTGCAGTAAAAGGCAATACAAGAATCTCTGTATTTTTAAAGTGAACTAGTTGTTTGATACCCTTGAATATTACAGCAATGTTTATATGACATAATTTATGGTAAAGTGAACAAGTGGATAGGAATGAATTTTTTTAGATTTTTTAAGTTTTTTAGTGCTTGCCTATAATACAAAACATTGACAGTTAAGGGCCATAATTCAAATAAAATCTTTGACAGAATTACCTTCTCCTGGACATGTTTGGGAATCATGATTGTAAAACAAGTATTCCAACTTTCAAATTAATATCTCAAACAGTTCAGTCAAAAAGTGGACTGGTACTAAAAACTTAACCAAGATTCTAAGTCGATAAAAGGCCTTAATTTTTAAAACAAATCCTTGACAGAGTTACCTTCTCTTGCGTACAGATGGGGGTAATGATGTGAAATAGCATTAAAAGTTTCAAAGCAATATCTCAAAGGGTTAAGGCAATAAGTGGATTTTACCCATATTCAATGTATTTTCTAAGTCAAAAAGGGGCATAATTCTGTCAAAAAACCTTGACAGAGTTATGTCCTCTTGTCTGTTGATGAAGGTCGTGATGGTAAACAAGTATGGTCAGTTTCAAAGCAATACCTCCAATGGTTTTGAAATAAAGTGAGGTGGTACAAAAAACTTAACCAAGCTCAATACACTTTCTAAGTCAAAAAAGGGCCATAATTCTGTCAAAAACCTTGACAGAGTTATGTACTCTTGTCTGTAGATGGAGGTTATGATGGTGAACAAGTATGGTAAGTTTCAAAGCCATACTTGTAATACTTCTGAAATAAAGTGGGGTGGTACGAAAAACTTAACCAAGGTGTGACGCCAACGCCGACGCCGACGCCAACGCCGACGCCGACGCCGGGGCGAGTAGGATAGCTCCCCTTTTCATAGAAAAGTCGAGCTAAAAACTGGCATCAAATTACAGTTGTGACTGTTAGACATGCAAACAGGTGATCAAACATTTTCACAACAATTTTTACATATATACCTATCATTTTGTTTTGTATATAACTTCCTATTAATAAATCAAAACATTACATTTAATTTAAAAAACATGATCAAGTAAACAGTAAATAATGGAGACATAAGACCGTTCATATGTTATTTGATGATGAAAAACATAAGAATAAGCTTTCTTTTCATACATTAATGATGATGATGTTGCTGATGATGATAATGATGATGATGGTGGTGATGATGATGATAGTAGTGATGATGATGATGATGATGGTGATGATGATGACAAGAAAACACAGATTAAATTAAAGAGACAAAGTTGAACACTTAATACAGTAGCTCTTTGTTGATGTATAAATATCATGCATAGGATCTCACAAAAAGTTTAAACATTAAGAAGAATCGTGTTGAAGATTTTGATGACTGATAATGGTGATGATTGATAATGATGATGATGGTGATGGCAATGACAATGATGAAGGTAATGATGATGATGATGATGGTGGACATGACAATGATGATGATGAAAATGAGGGTGATGATGATGATGATGATGGTGATGACAATGAGGGTGATGATGATGATGATGATGATGATGATGATGACGACGACATGTACCTACCTACATGTATCTAAGATTTTTTCAAACTAGCTTTCACACTACCACCAACTAACAACTAGTTAGAGATAGAGAGAAAATACAGATCTGATAATGAAAATCCTGATTATGTACTGTTCCAAACAAACCAACATCAAAACAGGAAGAAAAAAACACAAGTAGGCTACCTTAGTCAGCAACATACAAGTATAAAGTGAATCACACTGCTAATAATTTTTCACACATTTAACTCAGGAATATAACCTAGATAGTATGAAGATAAGTTAAAACAAATAAAATATATAGTATGGTTAGTTGAAATAACTGCAAACAGTTTGTTTACCAAGCAAATTACTACTATAATAGTTATTTGTCTTATTTGTCTCCTTTTTTTCCTAAATTAGACATTTTAAAATTTTCTCCATTGCTACAAATTCTGTACTTTCCAAAATTATGCTAGAGTAACACTGCAGTAAATTTCCAAATTGAATTAGCTTCACAAATCAAATCTTTCTAAATTAAGCTGCCAAAACCCAAATGGACAGAAATAAATTAAGTTGTGACTCAACATAAAATCATTTTCAAAACATAATTTTTAGGCTACTAAGAAATCAATAAAAAAAACACAACAGCAGAAAGATAAAAAGCTAGCTTTACTAAAGATGATGAAAACTTAACATTTGAAAAACATCTGAAAAATTAAAAATATGCCAAAGTTTCCTTTATACATGTAGATTTTGATGAAAAGTTCGAACTATTAAACATGAAAATTATATTTCTACATAAATTTATCATCCCCTTTTTAAAAACAGACATTTCATATTACCTAAGAAACATAAATAATTCTTATGTTAAATATCATATTCTACAATGCACTTTAACCAAATGCATTGAAATTACCATTTAAAATCAGATTTAGTTCTACTCCATGAAGTCAAATCAGGTTTTATTTTAATCAATAAGATATGTTTTTATTGCATTGTCACTTTTGGTTAACTTCTACTAAAACTGTAAATGAGTTCACCTGTTATTGCATTAAGGTGATGATATGCCATTTGTTTAAATTTTGGTTTATTCTATTTCATCTAATAAAATCTGGTTTTGTTCTATTCTACCTGATCAAATCTGGTCTTATTCTATATAACAGCTCTTCAAATCTGGTCTTATTCTATTCCACCCTATAAAATCTGGTTTTATACTATTCCACCCAGATTGGTTTAATTCTACTCTAGCTATAGGTTTATAGTTAAGCAATTAGTCATCTAGAGAAAAAGAAAAGCAGTAAAATGTTAGTATCCAGGCAGCAGCAGGGTTACACAGTGACAACATGCATGTGAAATACCTGTAAAATATTCGGTGGACCGACGCTCGGCATAAATGTTCGGTCATCTTTAACTTTCCTATGTGATACCTCATCATCGGAGCTCTGGTTGCAAGTCATAAAAATAATTTAATCATAGGTAACTTTTTTTTACAAAATCAAATGTAAATTAATCCTTAAGATAAACGTAACTTTAAGAGCTATAAACAACAGTCTTTGTTTCTAACTGGTAGAAATATAATGCATAGAGGATATTTAAGTTTTTTCTATAAACACATGAGTACAGGAATTATTTTCATTGAGTGGTATGAAAATAAAAATTTCATGTGGTGATAATTTTCATACCACAAGATGAAAATAAATCCTGTACTTTCTGTTTATTATATAATATATATTTTCTCTTTTGTGACATTAAAATTTGATAGACTTCCCCTTAAGTTTTGTGTATTGGTCGAATCTAAATAGAGGATATTGGTTTGTTTTGCATGTAAGATTGAAATATATTTCACTGAGTGAACACCAGATGTAATATTTTCACGAGTACTGATTTTGCCGCATAACGTCGCACATTCTCCTTTATGACGTCATCATGTCATGACGTCACATCATCAATTTTAAAATATATTTCCGTTAAATTTCTCTTATTTTGTTACATTTTCAACATGATTTATGGTGACATCGACTTTCATTTTTTGAAGAAGCAAAATTTACGCTTGACAGCATTTATTTTTGCCTGTTATTCCATTTACCGTATAAGTATTTTTTTCTGCGGGCTCCAAATTCTGCGGTTTTTCAAAATTTTGGCATGTTTTTATTTCTGCTGACTTAATTTCTGCGGCACATTCTTTGGACAAAATGTGATTTAAATACTGCGGCTCATCTTATCAAAGTCTAAGTCACATTACTTTACCTATTTTATTTGCATGTACACATTTGCATTAAAATTTTGTTTACCGTCGTCACCGCAGAACTATATTATATAGTAATTACAAACAATTATATTGTTTGCTTGCAAATAAATATAATGTGCATCAATAGACAGTTTGCATCTTTAAATCAGTGAAATGACGTGTGAAAAATATACCACGGTAGTATCTTTAATTTTATAAAATTGATAGAAGTTTATCGTAAATCAGACAACAATTAATGTATACGACGATTATTTAGCAGTATAAGGGTTTAAATGGTTTTAATGATTTAGTGGTAAACAAACCCTTTAGCGTACAGGCAAACACTATGATGTTTGAATTTCTTTGTTCATAAATTGGCATAATTAACAACAATTACATCTTTACATGCACATATTGCATATTTAGCCGAAATCAATTTTATATAACTCGATGACCCGCTAACCGTTATAATCCGTTAGTCTTTATTCCTTTAAAGGAAACAGGTCATAATGTAGGACTCATTTCTTTTAAAAAAACAAAACGTGGAGAAATATTCTGCGGTTTTTATTTCTGCGGTGCTGAAACTGACCTCAGAAAACGCAGAAATAAAGTCACCGCAGAAAAAACCACTTATACGGTAGTTATGATATTCTTTTCATTCGCACTCTAATATAATAATAATAAAATAATAAGTTCGGCTACAGTGAAAATTATATCTGATAATAAATTTCACTGGTGGTTTATCAGAATATAATCACCTGATGTATTACAGTAAAACACTGGAAAGCATGAAATAAAAGAAATGATTTTTACATCCAAAGTACGGAAAATGAAAATACACATTTTATTTCGTCATTATTTCTCAATATTTATAAGTATTTAATAAAGATAAAAAAGAAATCATTATATCAAGTCAATATGTCAAATATGAATATGATCTTTGAGACAGCTAGCATTTGAGCCGCGTCATGACAAAACCAACATAATGGGTTTGCGACCAGCATTGATCCAGACCAGCCTGCGCATCCGCGCAGTCTGATCAGGATCCATGCTGTTCGCTATCAGTTTCTCTACTTGTTATAGAGTTTGTAAGCGAACAGCATGGATCCTGATCAGACTGCGCGGATGCGCAGGCTGGTCTGGATCCATGCTGGTGGCAAACCCATTATGTTGGTTTTGTCGTGTCGCGGCTCATTTGAACAAATACGGTAAAACCTCTGTATTAAGACCACAACCTGTTCTTAGTTAAAATGGTCTTAATTGCAGGGTGGTCTTATTATCAAGTTAGATATTTCATGACAGTCACTTAATGAAAGATCCATTTCATCATTTTACTGATTCAAATCATATATGGCTACCACTATAAATATTTGAAAACATTTGAAATCTGTACAGAATTTACTTTTTATTTCCAGTTAGAACAAATTAGCTGTTGTTAATAAAAGCTCTTAAAACTAGGGAAAAGAAACATAAAAAACAACAAATGTTTGAAAACTCAACATAAATGTAAACTATAACTTTGTTCAACAATCAACAGTTGATTTACCTGTTCAACAAGTTTTTGCAATTTTTTTTCTTTTCTTGCACTTTTTGGTGCAATTTTTTGTTTTCTAGATTTTAACTTTTTTTGCACATTTTGTTTTGCTTTAGGACTCTCCTTTTTCTTTCTTACTGTCATTGCTTTTCTCTTTTTCTATGATACAGAAGTTGTCATTAAATCAGTGACATTTTGCCTACATTTTAAAGCTGAGTAAAGGCAGTTATCCCTAGCCCAAAATAGGTATATTTTCCCCTAGAAATTATGTATTTTCACCGGTCATGCTGTGTGCACATTCTTCACCAGAACCATGAACTTACAGCTGACTAATATATATCAGCTGGTTGTTAAATTCTAAATGACTGAAGGACAGAAAGATGTCCCTATTTATAGCCTCTGCTATGTACCATGCTTGTTATATTGAACATCATGCATGTTATATTGAACATCATGCATGTTATATTGAACACCATGCATGTTATATTGAACACCATGCATGTTATATTGAAATGAAACTGACAATTTTATAAATGTATGAGTAAATTTCATTCTCAGTTGTAGTAATTTGATTTCAGGTTCCCCCACCCCATTTCTGATTCATCATGCTTTATTTTCCCCTTCAGAAAGCCACAGGTTGTTTTTAAATATTGTAAAAATATCACTGGATATCATATGAAATTCATTCACTAAGCTTCAACCAATACTATGTTAAAACTGACAACGAAAAAAATACATTAATAATGAGATTATTTTTTGTTTAAATACTTAAAACTCAAATTTAATAACCTGAAATACAGACTGGTGGATTTTCATTTTATTTAATTTCACATAAATTTTATATGTTTGCAATTCATGAAAAGAAAAACGTACAGTTATTTCAATCTAATTTCATTTTAAACCTGTTGAAATGAATTTAATAAACAAATAATATGAATACCTACATGTATTAAATGAGCTTATACAAATATACATTATTTTTCTCTTTGACTTAACACTTAGTTTTAATCCTATTACAGTTTGTGTATTTATTGAATCTAATATCAATTAAGGAATGAGTAAAATTAACATGAGTAACATTTTTTTATATCATTTAAAGTTCTATGGATATTAAAACTCATATGTTCATAAAAATAAAGAATATATATTGTCACCTTAGTGAAGTAACAGGTTAAGTCCTTCTAAATTTAAACAGAGTTAATTTAACCAGTTATTGCACTAAGGTGACGGTAAATATTGCAAGTAATAGCATGTTAATTATATCTTACTAAATCAATACCGAATCCGGAGTTGATTTCTGTATTCAAGCTTAAATTAAAATTTAATTAAATCAAGATGGCACAATCTAAAATGATTGAAGATATCTAAAAACAGAAAAATGTTAAATTTCAAGACTTACGTCATCCGTGTCGCTACTGAGATCTAGGATTGGAATCCCGTACTCGTCACTATATGGCATTTGGAACTGTGACACATCCGGGGTCGGTTTATCTTCTGACGGCTCTGGTTTACTGGAGGCTTGAAACAAACATGTGATAATTAGATTTGTCTGTCAGCTATAATATTTTGTTTATCTTCAGCTATAATATTTTGTTTATCTTCTTATATTTTCCCTTGGTGGGTCAAGTGTTGAGTGGGGGGCGGGGGTAGATGTCGGATGAGGGAAGAACTGGGTGGTAGTCAAGCCTCAAGGTCAAATATAGCAACTTTTCAACTTTATCACTTACCACACAAAATATCACATATCAGACCAATCTTTCAATCTGGACAAAAAACGGCCATCATTTTTAGGGAATTTTTCAAAATGTTCACAGACTGAATAGCAATTAGTGTAAGCCATGGTCAGACAGCACAGAAGTCCTTGCTGATTTTGGTCTGGTCCCATGGCTAAAATCAGTTACCCAGTTAAAATATGAATTAAAGTACTCTTCCTGAAATGCTTTCAAGCCAAAAAAAATCTAACATGAGCCAATTATCACAGCAAATTGGTTTTTTCCTGAACATTATTTTTTCAAAATCAATCACTCTTTCCTTATCGGTTTGAACTAAAATCTGGGTATATGTTTAAAAATTATTGAATACCAAAGACTGTGAAAAATAATGTTCTTGAAATGAACGATTTATTATGATATTGGCTGATGTTAGAAAATATTTGGCGCAGTAGCATCGCAGTAAGACTATCTTTATTTATAAATTTGCTGCAACCATATTTACGAATTCTATTAACATCTTGTCCATGCCATGCAAAATGATGTTTCAAATATATATTACAGTAGATAGAAAATCTAGAATATCACATGACACTTACCTGACCTTGGTGATATTTCCCCTTTCTCTTTACCGCCGATACTTCCTGTTTCTGAAAATATAACATTTCTCATACATTATGACTCATACATTATTACAGAACAAAATGCATAAACAAAAATGGTCTAATTTTTATATAAAATATCTTACTGAATACTTCATACAATAAAAGAGCTTACAATTAATATATTTGAATATCTTTAAAATAAAATAGGGCTACCATACACGAGTAGTTAAGAATGGTAACTTAACAACACTATCCCTCACTAGACACTGATGCGGGTCTTTAACCATTTAGGGAACTTTGGATTCCTTTTACAATCATATATGCAAAAGCTAACCAGCTAGTCATGGAAGGTCAAGAGTTCTACTCAATCAAGTTGAAAAAAAAAACAAATATTTAAAGTGTATTTGATTTATATCTTATTTTTACAAATGTAGAGTCCTTAACAGGGTCTTGTCCCTGCTATTTTGTGAAAGGGCACCTAGCTTAATTTTGGGGAAAAAAATAACATTTTGAATTTTTTTTTTTTAGATATTTTTAAAAGTTGAAACCTACTCATAACTGTATGTACATGTATGACTTTGAAATTTATTCATTCCACTGAATGGTCATAATGAGTAACGCCTTTCTTAAGTATCAAGCAAATAATGCACATTTTTCCTCAGAAGTTGAAAAAGTTTAAACATTGACAGCTGTCATGTTTGGGTTTTTTTGGAAACAGACAAAAAAGAATATTTTGGATTGGGAATGGAAACTTCTTTAGCCCCTGGTAATAGGACAATAATGTCTACATTGAATGTTTACCTCCGATGGTTCTAGCGGTACCAGTCGCCTCTACTTCCTCCACCCAGTCCCAGTCAGTCTGGGTATTTAACGTGACAAACGTGATTTCTCTACCATCATATGTACGACGTTTTGATGTAACTTCACGGCTGTTAACAAATAAAATGTAAATAAAACAATGTCACTAGTTCTCCGTCAACAAAAAAAGTATTAAAATCTATATGAGATGTGTCATGACAAAACCAACATAATGGGTTTGCGACCAGCATGGATCCAGACCAGCCTGCACATCTGCGCAGTCTGATCAGGACCCATGCTGTTCGCTATCAGTTTCTCTACTTGTTATAAGGTTTTCAGCAAACAGCATGGATCCTGATCAGACTGGGCAGATGCGCAGGCTGGCCTGGATCCATGCTGGTCGCAAACCCATTATGTTGGTTTTGTCATGACGCGGCTCATATGAAAGTTTCAATTTATTTTATATATTCATAAATTCCATACTAGAAATATTACATCAATTTTCTAATTAAGGTATTAGGACCCTAATGGGCACTATCAGGAACTAAAGAATTGACATCATAGGTCAGATGTATACCATTAAGTACACTTGTATGCAAAATTTAAACAAAGTTTACCGTACGGAAAACAAGTTATGGCCACTTTTCTTAACTCAAGCTAGGATGTTATGAGGGCCCCTTTTTAGAAATGAGGAACCTTAAAATGATCTGCAATAACATTCTAATGAAAAATGTTTTCCCATGAATTTTTGGTAAGAAACAAATAGTACCATTCAGCTAACAATCCACATAAGCAAAATTATGGTTTCTACTTAAAATTTATGAAATCTGTATAAAAATGTTACCCTACCCCACCCATTTTTACCACATGTCTGACCATTTTTCTACTTAGGGAGCCTTATTCAAAAAGTTCTTAAAATTTACCCAAATGAGTGCCTTTTTTCAAAGTTTCCCTAATTTTTTAAAAAAATATATTGGTTGATCTTGTAAAATATGAAATACTTTTACCATCTAGTTTTGATTATATTACACTTTGAAAATATCAGGTACCATATTTATTACTAGATTTAGCATTATTTAGCCAATAAATACCTATATAAATTAAAAATTCAAAATTAAACACTTTTTTCTTTCCATATGGGGCATGAGAGATACATAAATAATGTTAAAAGAAAAAAAGAAAGAAAAAAAAAAGTTGACCCTTCTGGGGATTGAGCCCATAGCCCTCATTTCCAATGTAGTTAACAGTAGTTCTAGCCTATTTGAATACTCTTCAAAGCGGAGGTAATGCATTAGGGTGCTAATACCTTAAAATGTCAGTCAGTGCAATATAATACAATCAATTCATTGATATTCCAGCAGCAATTATTAAAGTCACAAAAATTAAGTCTGACAAATTATGTTTCTTATTTATTTTTTGTACATTATTAATTTTATAAACATGGCACTTTAAAATGTTTGATGAAAATGTAAATTAAAATGAATTTGACAATGAGAAAATATTTATAACTGATAAACAGAATATTATAGGCTCACATACAGTAACATACATGTAGTTCAATTCAACTTGTCCATTTGTAAATTAATGTCCTCTATCTATTTAAAAAAAAACCAACAAATTTCAATATCAAAATCAGAAACAAAATCATTACCCATTAGAGAATGAGACAGTTCTTCCAATTTGTTGTTGTTGTTCCTTCTCCATTGCATCATCTGACAGAACCTCAGGTCGAAAACCTCGTACAATGCGAGGCCTTGCGCTACCTTCACCTGGATGATCAAAGGCTGCTGAAGACGCTGAAAATAACATACAAACATATTAGTCTATATATCTTCCATTAATGTCAAACCCGTCGCGGGGATGTAGACATGACTATAGACAGACTAGTCACTTCAGAGACAGCTATTAGATACATGGGAATCCGGAAACAAGTCCCTTGATCTTATTGAAGAGCCCCCTTGTTCTTTTACCCCCGGGGCCTAACTCCAGGTTAAATTTTTTTCACTTAGGGGGGGGAAACATTAATTCAAAAACCCGGGGGTTCCCGAGAGCGACCACCTCAGTTTATGATTCTCTAACAATTTTTTTAAAACCTGCATATCGCCAACATTGGAAAACTTTTTTACCAGAGGACGGAGGGGGGCGCCGAGCATGCGTCAAAAATTTACTTTTATTTTGTTACAACATTTTTTAAGCAAAAATAAATGCATTTCTAACTTTAAAAGGAAACAAAACTGACAGACAAGGTGAGCACTCAAAATAGCATTAAAACCATTATTCTTTCAAAATAAAATACTTTGGTATGATTTTTATCATGTTACTAACATTCAACCAATTAAAGACTTCTCTTATAAATATTTAAAAATGATATCTGACAGAGTCTCGGAACGAAAACCTTGAATAATACAAGGTATGTATGTTATACAAGCCTTATAGCAGTTCCTTTAAGATATTTATACAAAAAATGTACAAAACATTTTTTTTCCCAATGAAATCTTAATATTACATTACAGCTTAAAAAAGTTTAAATCAATATTATTCAGAGGATTTTTTTTATTTGAGTGAAATATAAAATATATTTTCAGGAAACATGATTAAAGTCCATATATTTTCACAAACCAGACTTGTGAAATATATGAAATTTTATCATTGTTCAGTGAAAATATATTCTACTTTTTTACATAGAAAAATAACTTTTATATCACATTTTACCATCGAGAAAAAACAATTAAAAATTGTTGACGTAACAGTTGCAAATGTACAGTGCACAGTAATATATTGATTATATACAAAAAAATAAATATAAAAGATAATACATATAGGGGCACAATGCAGTTCTATTGTTATGAACACCATATTTAATTGTCATAAGAAAACATAATACCAGAATTATTATGATAATTGGAGATAATGAAATATAAACAATTGAAGCTGCTTAATGTCAGAGAAAAGCATCCGCGAAAGAAGTCCTTAAAAATTTATACGAGTTTTGCCTCTGCCAACTTTTATACAATAAGACAAGTTCATATTTGTTTTTAACAAATATATCCGTTGGAATAAATTTGACTGAAACAGCATCATATTTCATGTTTAAAATTAAATAATTAATTTTTCTTTATTCTTTATTCCTATTGCACTTACAATTTACAGAACTAATGAATAAGAAATAATTATTAGACCTACATATGTACATCCAGGGAGGAAACCCTATTTCTGTTGTGTCCTTGTTTTCAGTACCCATTTTCTCCATAATGCCTAATTGTCTAAATCATATCTTAATTAATAACTTTACACTGCTATTAAACGGTGTTCTCCTTAGAAGAAAACAATTACAAACATGACATTGTTGTTGCAAAGGAGAGGTATTATGACGTCATGAATGACGTTCTGATGTCATAAATGACGTTGTGACGTCATAAATGACGTTGTGATGTCCAAAATGATGTTATGCCATCACAATTCATATTATGTAATTAGATACATAATGGTAAAGTCAAAATAAGGTTATCATTTATTTTTTACAAATCTTCTTTAAATATTCAAAATTTTCATCCTCACCTGATAAAAGTTAAATTAATATATGATAAATCATAGAGAATATTAAAAAACTGCTTTAGCATTGAATTTCAAACCATTTTTTCAGAAAATTTATAACTATATCATACATATACCCCCGAAAACAAAAACTTATATTCACCACAGCCACCAAACCAAAAAAATAATAATACAAAGGGAGGTAACACTGTACTCTCATTAACAAATATATAAATTCAGGGGAGGTAAACATTTACAGAAAACTAAACGATGGGAGATAATCAGTTTTTACATGGATGCCAAAGTATCTTGTTAAAGAGACTTTTTACACAAAAAAGTATATAGAGAGGCCTGTAAGTTAAATTTGTAATTAAAAGATATTAAGTACATACCATTTGATTTAGCATCATCGTCTTGGTCATTATTTGAACCTGAAAAATTTGGAGTTTTTTTTAATATTATGCTTTATATTGGTGAGATGATGAAATAAAATGGGTCATGTCAATGATTATTTATTGATTCAAACTTAATTGTGTGAATATAAATATAAAGTTAAACTATTTAACAAAAGCTATGAATAGCTTTTGACAAACAAACAGCAAAATAAAATATGAAATATGAAACTTTCTTATTTTTACATGTAACAGTAAGTATAAGCATTTATCTTAATCATTTTTTTTTTCTGAAAATCATCAAAATTGAAACAAACACTTTTTTCTTTGAGCTGATATTTCCATCTTGCTTGTGACGTTGTCATAGAAATTTTTTAATTTAGAATTTTATCACCTTAGTGAAGTAACGGGTTAACTTTTATGAAATTATATTATGAGTTAACCTGTTGCTGCACTAAGGTGACAACTTATTAAAATGTGACTTACCAATGGGTGGAAGAGGTTTACTAGCAGAAAATTCTGCTGATCTGGCTGTTGCTTTTGATTTGTCAATATTATCTTCCATTGTTTATCTTTTTTTTCAAAACAGTTTTACCTCTTTTATCATAATCTTATAAATCCATTCTTCTTAATTCTGAAATAAAATAATTCAGACATACTTAAATGGAATTGATCAAACTAAAACTGGGAATGGTGTTATTTCTAAAAGCATTTGCACATTTGCACACACATTTAAATGTCATTTTTGGTCCAAATCGTTATCAATACTACTGGTTTTTAAGCTTAAAAACATTTATGTGAATAGGGTTATCAAAACTTTTAATTTTGTTCAAAACATGCCATAATTTTTATGTAATTAATGTGAAAAACACTTGCATACAAAAGAAATTCCTTATGTAAGTATTACTTGTAATATCTGGGCATTCCTAAAAAAAAAATCTTTAAAATTATTATTTAATAATGCAGTTTTTCCCCAAACATTAAATTGACATAAAGTTTTTTCTTCCCCTTTTATAAAAATAACATATTTAATTATTATTTCCCAAAAAATGAGGGGAAGCAGCCACGTGTTAAATAAAACCTGTAAGGAAACAATAATAATGAATTTCTATTGATATTTTTCCTGTTCTAATTTATAATATAAAATTAGGCAAAACCTATCTACGGGGAAGTTAATTTAAAAAAAAAAAAATTTCCGTGTTCAAGGCAGACTTCCTGAAAGTTGAAAAAAAATGTCAGACATTCGGTCTGACAAACCATGAAAATCTGTCGGACCGAAACGAAATCTGTCGGACCAAATAAAATTGATCAAAATCAAAGAATAACTTGTGTTTGTATTTCTAAGACACTTTTTGTTTTTATTTTTTTTCGCCGTAAAAATCGGCACATTCCTTACAGCACATTTTCATCTCCTCCCTATCATACACCAACGATTCACTGTCTTGCTTCTAATTTTCATTAAATTTTGTCTAAGGTCTATTCTTTTTATCCTTTTACTGCTGTTCTGCCTGTTCCTCTGACGTAGATTTTTTATTTTCCCAAGGTTTGGCACTTTTAGCGACGCCATTTTGTAAACATGCGGCTTGGATAAAAGCCGGACAGTCGGACCGATCCGGAATAAAAACTCGTTGGACCTGATCAAAATTTATCGGACATGTCCGTCGGACCGACGTATTTCGGGAAGTCTGGTTCAAGGTGTAATTCGGTATTTTATGCACTGCTTCTGTTTTCACTCGGAACACTTGAAATGATTATTAATCTGAAAAGTTGCGATTGTCCGTAATTGGAATACATCGCCTATTATCATTGAGTTACTGTACATTGAAAATGTTGGCGCCCAATTAGAACTGACACTGAAAATCTAATAAGGTATAGAATTCTATATAATTCTTAATTGTTTTTATTTGATTTCCTTTTAAATATACACTTGTAGTCTATAGCCAGGCAAGGCGAAGCCCAGGCCCGCTTCAAAGACCCGGCCTTTGACTTCCCTGTATTAGAAAAATATGCACCAATTCATAAGCTGCATAAGTATGCAAGTTGGAACTCATCCATAGAAGCGCAAGAATAACTCCGGTTTTGTTGTTTGGATGCAATAAAATTAACCCCTCAGGCCAATGGCCTTTATGGTCAATTCCTAGGCAGCAAAACTCCAAACTTGTGTTAAATAGCTGATAAACAGTTACACAGCTGATACCAACATTATGATATAATTTCCAAAAATGAAAAGACAATACAGTAGTGAATCTGATTGTTGTGATAATGATTTGAAATAGGACTAGGAGCATTCACTTTTCATACAACATTTTTTCAAATTTGTGTGTTTTATAAATCAGCATGTTAATTTACTTTTGCTTCGAAAATAAAATAATTCGAAGAATATATTTAAAACAAAAAAGACTTAGTGTTGTCCTCTGTTGTTGACAAGACTGCTAACTGCTTTTTAAATTTTATCAACTCATTTTGTTGTTAATGCATGCTTTGTAGAACAAGAAAAAGACAAAGTAACGCGATAAATACTTTTTAAACAATGAGAGAAAGACTTCCTACCGTGTAAAGTAGTTAAATTAACCGCAAAGTCGTTTAAATTTCACATCTTTTTCATGGTTACATTCCACCTTAATCCGCCATGATAGTTTACATTGGTGATAGTCACGTGATATCATTATATGTAGAATATGATTGGATAACAAAATAATTAACGAAAGTGTCACTGTTTAACGAATTTTAAGGAAATGAAAAGCGAAATGAATGGGGAAAATCAAGATGAATACAGTAGAGGATATTTAATAATGAATTTATTTAACGAGTTGAACAAAATATAAATATAAAAAACATATTATGCGAGCTTCTGGCGATCATAATATTAGTTTAATTATTCAAAGAGTTAAATAATTCAGTAATGATCGTACACGAATTCAATATTATATTTATCACAAACCAAAATAAAGACCGTTTGAAGTGAAAAAGAACCATTTTTCATTAACGCGCCTTCTGTATAGTATAACTCTAACATTTACGCTATGTTTGTATAACGCAAATGATGTCACGTCAAAATATATGTCCTATTTATAAGAAGTCGCAAAAGCGACAAAAGTGGTGTGTGAAAAACGTCTATAAATCTATTACATGGGCTATACTGTAAGAGTATTAAAATCAGAGACTTATACATGCATTACAGAAGCTCTGTTAGTATACAGACAGACGACGTTCGCATTTATTCGATGCATGAATAGGCCTACACAATGGACTTATTTGCATATATTGGTTAGAATGAAAATTTAGATTTCCTAGATCTATGCTGACATAGGCCGGACCCCAACACAGTGTTTAGATAACGAAACGTACATATAGACGGAAAGAAATTTCTAGTTTAAGCTGCACTGTTCATAACCGTTAAATATTTGCCGTTTACTAAGTACTGCTTTCAGACCCTCCTCTGAAATATGCAAGTTATTTTTTTATATACATGTACCTTATATTTACATCGTTTTTTTTAGTTTATAAATACGAATTTATTTTAGTTTGATTGTTTTTAGAAGGTAAAGCTTACTGAAAGATACTCTCTCCTGCACATCAGTCGAATATTTCACTATCGCTCACTTCCTTATGTTTGAAGTAACGTGTATTCAATGAGCTGCGAAGGGAGCGTAACTGAAAGATTTTCGAATATGTTCCTGGAAACAACCAGTAGTAAGTTTCTTGCTCACGGAAACAACGAATTACCCTTAACAGGCGTTGACACATAAACCCTTTGATTGCTTGCTCGAGGCGTCAACTACTTGGCCTTGCCGCCAATCAAATGGTATTTTAAGAAAAAGCTGTTGTTTTCATTGGCAGACACATTTTCATTTTTCATGTTGGCGAATTTAAAGGATTGTTAGAAAAAATAGATACCATTTTATATAGTCAATATTTATCAAATAAAAATGTAAAGATGAACATTTGAAAGTCATTTTGAGCTCTTAAATTAATAGCATCAGCTAGCCAGTGAAGGGTCAGCTCTAATTTTTATCATTTTATAACATTTTTACACCATTTTGATATTTCTCAAGAGGACTTGTAGTTGGTTAAAGTAGAGCTTGATTTGCTTTGAAAAATGATAAGCCAGGCGAGTCAATTTTAGTAAAATAAATTTTTGTCAGGATTTTAAAAGCTGTAACGTTTCGTTCAAAGCCTTAATAATTGCCGTTTTATTACGCCAGTATCACATTTTCATAGACAATTGACAAGTTGCACTGGTCGGACAGAACCCAGACCCTCAGACCCTGTGCACCATTTCTCGTACAAACTATCAACAAGGACACCCAAAGACCTTCCGTATTCTAGCCGCATAGCGAACTCATGTGAAATAAGACTAAGCTGTTGTGAACATACAGTCTGAATCCTGCATTTTCATCCGGGGTTTCAAGAGACTTGAGACTTGAAACGTACTAGGTATTCAGCACTATGTTTGGTGGTTATAGATCTATTATGTGTATTTTTACAATTAATTTGTATGTAAATTCGTAAATTTACGAAAATATACAAAGCTTTCCAAAGCTTTGAGTGATCTGATTTTTATTTCAACGCTAAAATCTGGTTGGCACAAAATAAATGTTAATTTACCGTTGTCAGAGGGATTGTAGTCAGATTATACATTGCTTGACCAAAACAAATATACAGATATTTTTCATCTAAGAATTGACCGCCATGGACGGGGCTTCTGTTTACATTTTCATCGGAAAGACTCAAATAGTAATTTTATTTGGAACCCCTACTGGTCGGGGACCATAAGCCGGACTCGTTTGAACATTTTTCCATACAGATTTCATAATTTCAAACCTAGAGACCTGAAAATTTGACACAGTACAGCTAGGTTCTTCTCCTAACTAACAAATTAAGTCGTTATTTTTTATTATATTGACACTTATATCTGAGGCTCGTCAAGGAGGGTATCAAAATTACCTAAATTGTCTACACTACAGTACCATGTGTCCGGATAGATATGTTAATTCAGATTAAAGCTCGGGTGGTTTTATTTTTTTATTTTTAACATGATATACAATATTTCAGCAGCAAATACTGAAGTTTTGGATATTCTATTGATTACTTTGCAAATGATTATAGCTGTATATGAGGTCTTGACGCCCAAATTTTCAACGTCAGCGTTCTTGAAATAGACATTAAATATTACCGTTTACGGAAGTTGAAATAAATCTAATTACTTAATTATAGAAGAAACATGCATTTATTGTTGATAAAAAAAACTGAATGACAGATCAACAACCACTGAACAAAGAAAAAACCTAAATATAAGCATTTTTCGGGGCCGTCCAGGTTTGGTGGTTGTCCGGATTTGGGGTCCCCAACCAGTGGAGTTTTAGTTAGACAGTACTGTATGCATATACGAATAATTATAATCCTATGTGGTTTTCGGACCAGTGGCGTATCAACATTTATGTCCTTAAAGACTTTATTAGTTTGAGAGTCGCAGCGTTAAGAAGAACATTGACTTTTGCAGTTCCATAAAATGTTAATATATAACTTACACGGCATAAATTTAATCTTCTCTTAATGTTTACAGAATTATTAAAGAATATTAAAGAATACACCAAGCTATCGCTGGACTAGTACTTGTAGCCAAAAAGGGTTTGCTGGAACAGTGCCAGTGTAACGTTCAAACCTGTAGAAGCTAGTTGAATATTATTCAACTTTAACAAATAGTCTCAACGAATTAATGAAATTCTTACTTACATGTCTTTCTAACAGGAACAAAATATCATGACTTTGTCAACTTATACAACTGTGTTTACAATTCTTGTGGACTTAGTGAATAAGTAAACCTACATTTTCTTTTTTTTCAGCAAATTGGTTAAGGCCAGGGATAGTTGTTAAATTAACTCGGTCAGGTTTCTGTTTATTTCTTTTTATTTTCTTCAGCAATGTTACAATTGGATTGAGTACCTAATTCTATTTCACATAGGAAAAGAAATTCCAAAAAGTAAAACAGAAAATATCTTACTGTCTAAAGGTGTTAATTTTGTACAAAACTATTCGTGTAATTCACAACACACGGCTCATTTCTAGTAAACAAAAAGAAAATGTAAGTACAATATGTGTAATCAATCAAATGTCATCCTTCACATATTTCGTTTGAATTTAGTGAAAATATTGCATGAAATATTTAAACTATATCAATAAATTTGTAAAACAAAATTTACTAAAGGTGCATCATACGACCATGTGAAACACAGCTTTGAACATAGATAACATCTAAGTTTAAAAATATTACAAAACAAAATTGTGTTGTTTCTTGTGTTGTTTAAAACGTATTGTATTGTATTGTATTTAGCGTATCGTATCACATATCATATCATACCATTCTCAAATAATAAATAATACAAAAATCACAGCATGCCACATCACAGAAAGAAGAAATAAAAGTATATGAATATTGCATGAAAAAAAAACAACAATCAAATGATGAATTAATTAATTGGTTGACATGTAAACAATGTAAATGTATTTATTTTCACCTTTTTTACGCTTTTCAAACAAAAATGAATAAATTCTGATAATAAATGTTAAAAGCCTGGTTCAACTAGAGTTAACTATGCAGTAAAATGGAGTGAATTGTGCAAAAATGAAAAAAGAGAATAATGAATAGTAAGAAGAAGAAGCTTTATTCTTTCATTAATCTCACAATACACAATTGACAAAGCCATTATAGCTCATAGTCACATTTTGGTATATACACTTTTGAATTAATATTGGCATTAGTCAACAATAAATCTGTCAATAAAGTAAACAAAATATTTGTAAAAAAAAAGTAAGATGCAAAAAACAGGATACACTACTCTTACAAGCTTTAAATGCTTTTGTTTCGTAATTACTTCCCTTACATTTCAAAATATCTAATACAAAAGAATGTCTGAGACATATCAGTACGTACTTACGTACGCACGTGTCGCGTGCTTACATACGTACGTATATACATACAATAAATACATTTGTGTACCACACATGATATTTTTACTTCTAATACATTATTACTATGACTTATTACTATTTTCTATTTACAAATACATGGCGGTGCTGCGTATTTTTTAGTAAGTAACACAATAAAAATCTAGTTACACTTCAAATTGGCACAATATATTGTTTATATCTGTATTCTTCTGTTCATTTCAGTACACACCCGTCAATGTTTTACTGGTATTCACTCATCCTGAAATAATAAGAAAGTAATACATTTGACTTTTAACTAGTCACTTTAGATTATTAGAAATAAAAAACACGAACTTTTTTATAGTTCTTGTAAAAATGTACGTGCGTGAAAAAGGTCAATGCTTTAAAAGAATGTCGCTTATATTTAACCAAGTGTACGTGCTAAGTGGGTAAACACAAATTTCATTATAAAAATGATAATTTTATTAGTACTCGTATCGTATACGTGCATAAATAGATAAGTAAGTGAACAGACACATGTTTACGGTCAATCTTTTCTAAAGCATATATATATATAGGAAACAGTGACATGCCTTTCATTTTACCATTTAGTAATTCTTTTAGAGATTTAAGAAAAAGACAAAACCCTTAAAACGTTCAATAAGATTTGAATGAAAACAATAAATCGACATTTTCTTGACGCACCTCAATAATTGGTCCCAATAACTTTATTGCTGGGTTTTATGT